TTTCGTATGTTAAAAAATATTGTGTAACATTATGTTGTAGAAATTTCACTTGAAAAGGACCACAACCAAATGGTCGAAACGTCGTGAAATAATCAAATAAAATTGCTAGTTACGTCGTAGTCAAGTCGTTTAAGCTTATTTTCACCACTAGCGACAAATATTAATTTTGATTGATATTAATTTTAATTGATCGTTTCTCAAACAATTTATGGAGATTGTTAGCAAGCGATATGGGTCTTAAGGAATCATTTCTACTAGATTTCAGTATAAACACTGTGAAATATTGTTTCCATTGGTTGGGATAGATACCCTTGTTAAAAAACAGATTGAAAAACCTTAAAATAAGAATATGAAGCTCTTCAGGCAATTTTTTTTATTATTCTGTGAGAAATAAGATCAGGTCTAGAAGATGATTTAATTTTTAAAGAAGACATAGCCTCGTTGTATTCCGTAGAGGAGAAAGAAACCAACATAAATGGCAAGTTAGATCCCTCACGAATGAGGCAGATTGACAAGTACATCCCTGCCCGATTGCGTAGAGCGCAGGTGATTTACGGACAGGACCCGGTGACCGAGAACACTCGGCCCACGCGACGAGCACGCTCGTCGGCCGGGATAGTTTACGGACAGGACCCGGTGACCGAGAACACTCGGCCTACGCGACGAGAACGCTCGTCGGCCGGGATAGTATACGGACAAGACCCGGTGACCGAGAACATTCGGCCTACGCGACGAGAACGTTCGTCGGCCGGGATAGTATACGGACAGGACCCGGTGACCGAGAACACTCGGCCTACGCAACGAGAACGCTCGTCGGCCGGGATAGTTGGGAGTTTAGGGTTCGAGGAGTGATCTCTGAGAACGCTCGAGAGACCGGTGCGGGAGTGGGGCGAAAAGCCTCGACTGGGCCGCCTTTATACCCGTCAGTTAACCCCCTCCAAGTTAGTCTTGGGGGTAGCCCCGGGGTGGGGCGAAAAGGCGAATTTCCATCGCGTTTATTATATGGTGGCCCCGAAAGGGGTCGTTTGTATGAGCGCGGGCGGTTGGTCGGTCCTGCGCGTGCGCGGCGCCTAGTGACGACCAATCGGGTCGTCACAAGTCTACCGCTTCAGACTGCGACACATCATGATATGCCATGATTCTTTTAATTTCCCTCTGTTAAACAAATATAGGGCAACTATTAGAAGAAGCCTCATGCTCAACCTCATTTAGCTTATGTCTTCGACAATTGATACAAGAGGGTCTACTTTACAAACAGACCCCTCACCATGAGACGATGGATTCAAACCACATCTAGCACACACGGCATTGTTATCCGAAGCACGACACGTCCTGGAAATATGTCCAAATCTCTGACATTTATTGCACCTTTTTACTCTCTGGATATATGAACGCAGAAACAATCTTTTTCCCATATAAATTACACTAGTAAGAACAGCCGAAATCCTGAAACGCACCAAGTATGAGTCTGAGTCAATATAATTAGTGGACGTTGTGCCATCGCTCTGTTTTTTATGAAAAGGTCTCTTAAGCCTAATCACTTCAAAAAGAGGAGTCCACATGATACTCCATTCAGGAGAGGGTCTAAGATTGTCAATAATCTTCTGAGGAGAATCATCATCGTCAATACCTCGGATAATATATTGTTTAATGACCTTAAAATTAAGAACAAAAGGTAGCATCTTTTACTCGGAAATGTAATCGATGCAAATTTATTGAAATTATCAGCAAATCCATTTGCGAAATTACTATCATTAAAAGTAACAAAAAATGTATTTGTTCTGTTACCAATAGTTTTTAAATCGAAAGCATAATTAAAACATTTAATATTTTTAGATATACGTTTTCCAAAAGCGATAATGCCGTAAGTTTCCGGTTTTCACTTAGAATTCTTTAAATTATTATTACTATTATTGTTACCTTGTTTAGTAGAACTCTTATCTGTAGCCTTATATAATGCAGGGAGCTGTTCCATGAGAACCAGAAAAGACGGCTTTAATTTTAGAGAATATTTATTGATAAGACGAGGATCAGTGGATAGTTTTTTTTTAATATTATCAATCGACTTGTTGTGTGATGCTACAGGCAATCTCTTTCTTCCAAGAATAATATGTCTAACTTTCTCTTCCACAGGAACCTGCGAAGTAGAAGCAGGAGTAGAATCATAAGCAGAATTTTTATCATTGTCATTAGATATATCACAATTATTGAGTGGATGATTAATAGTAGAGACACGCTCATTTTCCATGTTGCTGTCAAGACAACCACAAGAAAGGAAAATTCAAAGGACAATGTGAGAACAAGGAGCATGCCAAGATGGCCAAAATATTAACTATGACACGTGGTAAAATCACGTTTAGTCGTAACGTCTATATAAAACGTAGTCAAAGGCAAATAATAATGAGATGTCAAAGTATATATACAATAGAACAGCACTTAAAATTAAGAAATAAGAAAATCGTACTAAGTTCTAAGAGATTATCTATTATCACACTCTCGATTGTCTTCTGCTGGACGGAACGAACGTTTCGATACCGAGGCTCTCCAAACAATCTCCCCATCTAATTGTACATTTCTTTGATCGCGGAATAATATATTTGTAAAGAGCTAACTTAATGGCTGGAAACAGTATGCACAGTATATATGCGCATGCGCAGTATATGTGAGCAATTGAAAAATAATTATTTTCTTATAATTAGTAAATAATCGACCAACAATAATTTCTAAAGACATAATTGGGACCAACAATCAATTTCTTATCGATTTGACGTATAATTAATTAAAATCTATTAAAATTGTATATTTAGGTAGGCTAACTTCACATTGATATTTATTTTTTTAATAACAATCAAACTAATAATCAACAAAAGTATGACCAACAATGATCAATAAAAGATTAACTATTGATTCCAATTATTGAAACTTCGAAAATCTAATTTTGGTAGGCTAACTTCACAAAACTCATGTACTTGGCACATTTCTAATAATCCAATAGTAATATTACATATATTACATTTTATTGCATTATTGCTGCAATGTTATAGAACAATATTTTTGAAGGCGGACATTTTACCGTTGCTGCAACCTTGCACGATTACTGCAACATTTCACAATACGAGGGTCACTATTTATATTTCGGGAATAGGAACAAAAACAAATAGTTAAGCTGCGAATATATTTTTATTGTTTTTCAAAGTACTCGCCACGATGATCGATACACTTTTGCATGCGCTTAAACCAATTTTCAAAGCATTTATTCCATTCCGAATGAGGTATCTCCAAAACATGATTTTTGAACGCTTCAATAGCTTCTTCGGGCGATGAAAATCGTTGACCACGCAGTTTATTCTTCACGGATGGGAACAAAAAGAAATCATTGGGTGCCAAATCAGGGCTGTACGGCGGATGACCCATCAATTCGATGTTTTGAGTGCTCAAATAGTCTCTTGTTTGAGCCGATGTGTGAGAGCTCGCATTGTCATGATGAAGAACAATCCGACGTCTCTTGTTTGTTTTCCTTATTTCACCGAAGATTTCTGGCAAACAGATGGTTGTGTACCACTCAGAATTTACTGTTCTACGATCCTCTAGAGGCACTGTTGCAATATGACTAGTTTTTCCGAAGAAACAGGCCACCATTATCTTTGAAGTGCTTCGTGCGCGAACAACTTTTGTTGGATTTGGTTCATCTTGGAACACCCATACAGTCGACTGCTGCTTACTTTCGGGCTCATATGAATATATCCATGATTCGTCACCTGTCACGATTTTATAAACGTCTTTTGAAGCACCGCGATTGTATTTCTTAAGCATTTCTTTGCACCAATCGACACGAGCCTTTTTTTGAGCGATTGTCAAATTATGTGGGATCCAACGCGAACATAACTTTCGCACAGCTAAGTGTTCATGTAAAATCGCATATATGCTGGTGGAACTAATGCTTAGGGATGCCTCAATCTCACAATAGGTTACATGACGATCTTGCTTAATCATTTCGTGCACAGCATCGATGTTTTCTGGCACTACAGTCGATTTTGGACGACCTTCACGAAACTCGTCGGACAGCGAACTACGACCACGATTGAATTCACTATACCAGCGATACACAGTGGTTTTTGATGGAGCTTCATCGCCAAAAGTCAAATTAAGTTGATTGACGCACTCTTGTTGTGATAATCCACGTCAAAAGTCGTAAAAAATCATCGCACGAAAATGTTCACGATTCAGTTCCATTTTTTGCCGAGACGAAACTTTCAACTAAATATAAAATAAACAAATAGCGTCCGTATGACAAAATGTTCTGAGTACGTATATCGTCAAAAATGTCAAACTTTACGATGGAACCGTCAGATGGACTCACATGACATCAGTGTTGCCAATTCCCGAAATATAAATAGTGACCCTCGTATTTATGCAATGTTGTAATATTGCAATGAAATGTTGCTATAATGCTGCTGCAATCTTGTTGTGCTGTATGGGCCATATTGTGCTTTGCACCAAGTATATTTGTGTCGACGCGCGCTTGCAATGGTCGGAAGATGGCGGAAAAATCACGTAACTACGAAAGCCAATCAAAAACGGAGTTGGCGCAACTTTTATTATAGGTCTCTACTATTAACCAAGGTCTGTAGATGAACGACGGGAGGGGAAGTAAGGTCGTCGCATTCATATTTCAGCATTGGCCCCAATATGGCGTCGCCAATTCAGCCACCGGACAGCTGTTCAACTATAGTTTTTTTTCACTAACATTTCGTACGACACACACCGACATACAACACACATAACTCTGTGGTCCTAAAATGGCGGCTCATGCGACGATCTTTCTTCTCCTCCCGTCATTAATTTACGGACTTTGCTATTAACCAATGTGTGAGTCCTATAATTAAGGCTCTATAGAAGTATTTTCATTCGCCATTTTTTATTCACCACATGGAAGGTTAGGTTAGGTTAGGTTATACGTCGTATTACCGTGGGACCTGCTGGCGGGGACGTACAAAATAATGTACGACCAGAAGACGGACCTCCGCCGGCAGGGTCTCGCACTGTCACCGAAGACGACGGAGGCGGCCCGGCGACAGCTGAAGCAGGCGGCCATTGAGATATGGTCGGAGGATCTCCTCCGACCAAGAGCAGGTGTCAGGGCCGTCCAGGCCATTCAGCCGGTGCTCCAGGATTGGCTGTCGAGAAAGCCCGGACTTTCTTACAGAGTCGTGCAGGTGCTCACCGGGCATGGGTGCTTCGGGGAGTACCTGCACGACAAGGCTCGAAAAGAGCCTTCTAGGAGGTGTCATCATTGCGCGGAGGTCAGGGACACGGCGCAACATACAGTAGAGTTCTGCCCAGCCTGGGCGGACCAGCGCCGTGCCTTGACCTCCGCCATAGGGGGGGATCTCGGGCTCCCCAGCATGGTCAAGGCCATGCTGGAGAGCCAACAGAAGTGGGAGGCGGTCGCCTCCTTTTGCGAAGAGGTACTTACGCGGAAGGAGGCGGCCGAAAGGGAGAGAGAGGCCGACCCTAATGCGCCCCCAATGCGGCGCAGGAGGGTCGGCCCCAGAGGGAGAAGATTCGCCGCCCAAGCGGCGATAAATTGAGGAGACAGAGGAGGAGGCGGGATAGGGGGGAGGGAGCATGTTTTCTCTCCCCCCGATCCCGCCCGATGGAGGTGTGTAGAAGGGCTCCTTCGGGGACCAAGGCCGAATCCCAACCCATTTTGGGAAGGAGGGAGCCTGGTCCCCGAAGGAGAAACATCAACGGGAGAAGCGGAACGGAGGGGACGCGATTCCACCCTAGGACTCCAGCGTCCTCTCCCTTCCGCTGAGGGAGGCTTCCTCCAAGGAGGGAGTCTCCCGGGAGAGGTCCCGGGTGTCTGGCGCCGAATCCTAACCCCCCTTCGGGGGCGGAAGGAGCGTCAACACCCGGGACAGGAGAGCCGCAGAGCTCGAAGGGCGGGGGCCCTTCGAGCTCATTGCACGCGACTTTCCAAGGAGGGGAGAGGAGTGGTGGTGGTCCCCACTCCTCTCTGCCTGGTGGGCTTGCCCGCCAAACGGGAGGGACGCACCCGAAAGGGGTGCGTCACGGCGTTTCGGAGGCCCCGGTTGCATGCGAAAGCGATTCCCGGGGCCTCCGAGTAGCGCCAGGAGGACCACCGTCTTGGGCCTTCTGCCCATTCCCATCCCCGCATAACCCGAAGCCTCCCCCGAGGTGGAGGGTATGTGTTGAACACATTCCTGACGTAAAAAAAAAAAAAAAAAAAAAGGTTATACGTCGTATATACATATGTCAAAATGTCAATACATATTGTCGTTGTATGCCTTTCGATCTCGCAGTTAATTAAAAAAGTTATAAAACACGATATACATCTCCTCTTTCTCGGCCATAGAGCTAAACGCAATGTTATTGCAAAAATTAAGGAATCTGAGAATTTGTATCCTATGGTTGGGATCTCAAGAATTCTCCTTGTTCCTCTTTTAACTTCCCCTATAAAGAAATAGGCGAGAAAAATATTGGTCCGAAAGTTAGCTAAATCGGGAATCGAACCCGAGACCTTCCGCTTGCCGAGCGAATGCTCTTCCAACTGACAAGGGAAGTTCGGCAAGTGTAAAATTCAAAAAAATCTGAAACTTTGTATAAGTTTAGAGTAGATGAACCTAATCACGAAACAATTTTTTTTAGCTGCTGATATTCGGTTTTAGGGGTGCAGCATCCCCTTAAATAAAATCGGTGTTTACGTTTTCAAGCGAATATCGCCGAAATAATGAGAAATATAAAAAAATGTTTCCAGCAAAAGTTTTATGGTTTCGAAAGCTCTTTATAATGGCATGATCATATTTTGCAAAAATGTTTAATTTTTCAAAATACCCCCACCACGTATCTTTTTTTTTTCATATTTAAATTTTTCTTGCAACTAAAATTAAAGTTTATTTCACGCCAAATTCAACCATATATAATAAAGTTGCGATCCGTAAACGTGTTTTTGAGAAATAAACTGAAAACATCCTTACAGGGTATGCTGTCAATTTTATCGGCCCGCTAATTTTGGCTACGACTTCTCTTTCTCCCCTTCTCTCTGTAATTTTTCGCAATACAAGATAACGATAAAACAGATGTTCGTAATAAATCTAATCACGTAACTGATTTTTGTATATTACACATTTTATAAATAATATAGTAGTCAAAATATATCGTAAGAAAAAAATCAAAGTTATCGATAAAGTAATTTCTGATTTAGACCTTTGGTAAAAAAAATTAAAGATTATCGTCTAGAATGAAATAAACACGGATGCACTAACGTATATGTAATATTTCCTGTTATGTACGTCATTATATTTATGAGAACGTTATCAACTTTGAATAGTTGAAAGGTTGAAGGATTATCGAGATTGATGTGATGCAATAAAAGGGAAGGTTATGGGAAGGCTATCTTTAATGTTCGTTTTCCTTATACAATTAGTATAAAAGCCATCCGCTTCTGCATTTCATTCATGTTATTTAATATATTGTACGTGTCATACTTTCTGTGGGAAAATTTCATATAACATTTATTCAAGCATTTATGTCAAAATGTTGGCCATAAATACGGCGAACGTTATAAATTTGTTAATTACAACGTTTCACATTGCAAATCTCGCTGTCACTCCTGTTAATCATCGTGAAGTAGAACTCCACGATGCAATTTCAAATTTAATAAGGGATTCTCTAAAAGACGATATTACGATTGAATATGATTGGGGACTTGATTTTGATGATCCATCGGAACCTCAAGCTGTACAGTTTGTAGATTTGTATGATCCTCATGCTGAAGAAGATAACTATGAAGATGAAGTTTGTATTGTAGATGACGAAGGTGGAAGTGTAGATTTAAATTATAAAAGAAAAGCGGTTGAATATTGGAACAGTGGAAAAAAAAGACGTTTATCCGTTTCTGTTGTACAGAATCGTTTTAGAAAGGTAAATTCTCATTAAAAAATAAGTACAATACTAACTAAATATAGATAAACGTGTATGAATATCATAGTGGATAATAAACAGAAGTCAGGAACAACGTTTCATGTCGCATGTTCATCTGCATTCGATTAATTTTCTTGTGTTTGATATAATCTTTTAAATATTGGATCTTTTTTCTCTTTTAGGTAAAACATGTTTCGCAATTGTACAGATGGCAGGAGTATATAATGCGTGTAGGGACAAACAGAGACAAATTGATATTCATTGCCGAATATGTATTAATAAAATTTCAAGAAACTATTGATAGAGGATCTATTATTCATGACATCGATTTGCGAAGGTGGGCGCTAGAAGCAAAGGAGCAAGTGAATTTTGCTACATTTAAAGCAGGACATTGGTGGATATGAAATTTTAAAAAAGCTCATCGCATTACATCACGTAAAATAACGAAATTTAAAACGCAATCTAATTTACAAGCTGATGCACTGATACATCAAAATGCAGAAGAATTTGTGACAAATGTAAAACCACATATTGCTATAACTGGTGAAGGATCAACTTATAATGCAGATGAAAGCGGTTTTAATCTAGAAATACATTCTGGAAGAACATTAACTAATATGGGAGTAAAGACAGTCGAAGCTACTGTTCAATCTTTATCTTCTATAAGTCATAGTTATACTATTATGCCAATTATATCTGCGGACGGGTATCTTCTTTCGCCTCTATATATAGTCTTAAAAGAAACTACTGGGTCGTTTGAACCACGAGTAGAAGAAACTCTTTTTCGACCTGCTAATGTTTACATTGCGGCTTCAAAATCCGGAAAACTCACAACCCAACACTTTAAAAATTGGTTTTTAGAGGTATATCTTCCGAATACTAAAGAGAAAAGTTTGCTGTTGCTAGATTCATGGACAGGCCATTGCCCGGAACAGTTAATAGAACTTGTACCAAAAGACAAACAAGTAAATATTTTAACAATACCAAAAAAAACAACTGCTTTTATACAACCTTTAGATGTTTTTGGCTTTAGAATCTGGAAAAATTTTATTCGAAGCTTCTCTGATAATGTTATTTTAAATAATTACGATATAAATTTACATTTACGCAATAACATTATAAAATTACAGTCTTTGGCACACAATCAACTTTCTTCTCCAAGATTTCGAAATTTATTTAAATATAGTTGGTATAAAAGTGGCTATTTATCAACACGGCCTGAAAAGTTTGAAAATCCAATCAATTACTGTTCTTTTAAAGAAGAAAAACATATACCGAAATGTAGCATTTGTGATAAAATGGCTTTTATACGTTGTGCATGGTGCAAAAAATACTTCTGTTTTGAACACTTCTTTGAACAATACCATTATTGTAACAATTATATAGAATAAATAATATCTTATTTTTGTAAAAACTACTATATTATTTATAAAATGTGTAATATACAAAAATCAATTACGTGATTAGATTTATTACGAACATCTGTTTCATCGTTATCTTGTATTGCGAAAAATTACAGAGAGAAGGGGAGAAAGAGAAGTCGTAGCCAAAATTAGCGGGCCGATAAAATTGACAGCATACCCTGTAAGGATGTTTTCAGTTTATTTCTCAAAAACACGTTTACGGATCGCAACTTTATTATATATGGTTGAATTTGGCGTGAAATAAACTTTAATTTTAGTTGCAAGAAAAATTTAAATATGAAAAAAAAAGATACGTGGTGGGGGTATTTTGAAAAATTAAACATTTTTGCAAAATATGATCATGCCATTATAAAGAGCTTTCGAAACCATAAAACTTTTGCTGGAAACATTTTTTTATATTTCTCATTATTTCGGCGATATTCGCTTGAAAACGTAAACACCGATTTTATTTAAGGGGATGCTGCACCCCTAAAACCGAATATCAGCAGCTAAAAAAAATTGTTTCGTGATTAGGTTCATCTACTCTAAACTTATACAAAGTTTCAGATTTTTTTGAATTTTACACTTGCCGAACTTCCCTTGCAGACACGAAACAATATTTTTCTCAATGCTTTCACCCCTCAAAGCGTCGCAATTAGGCCCAGACGCGAATAAACAATAATAAGAATTACTGATCGACAAAAACAACAATAGTATTAACAATAACATTTCCACTGAAAAATCACCTCACTCATATTTTACCATTCCATATTTACCAACCATATCTGAACAATTTAAAAATATTACAAAGAATCTTAATACAAAACTCTCTTACTTCAGCTTAAATAAGTTAAATAAATACATTAAAGTGCATAAGGATAAGGTTCAAACTTTTTCCAATACCAATGTTGTTTATAAAATTGACTGTGCAGACTGTAATGCATCATATGTGGGCCAAACGGGACGTAAATTAAGTACTAGGATTTCGGAACACAAACTTGATATAAATAGAAATACAATAAATAAATCTGTTATAACTAACCATAGGCTTGATTTCAATCACGAATTTAAATGGAATAAAGTAAAAATTCTTGATAAAGAAAATTTCCTCGGAAAAAGATTAATCTCCGAGATGATTTATATTAAAAGACAAACAAATAGTTTGAACTTGCAAACGGACACAGAATGTTTACCTGATACATATATAAGCAGTATTGATAAACTACCGAAACTCTGAAAAT